CTACATCTCCTAACGACGCCTTTGTCTTGGTCAAAAAGTTGCACTTGAACACACCACACCACTCCAGCCGACGGCCAACCACCACGTACGGGAGGAAATAACTCTCCATGCCAGCAGGTGGAGGTAGTCTGTAGTTATGATACGAGAAGACCATTTTCACACCGCTGTCGGTCACCCCTCGTATTATAGCTCGTCTACCAATGGAGAATAATGTCTGATAAAAAGTTGAAAATGGCGCTGGTGTTGTCAGCTCTTTTTCTTTTAGTGGAAAAAGAAAAGAAGAGGCGGAGGAGACAAATAAGGAGAAACCGCACTAATGGGTGAAAGCGTGGATACTACAGCGACATGCTCAAGGGGCTTTACTGAACCTGTGAGGAGAGCTGGAGAGAAATGAAACCTCCCAACAGCCAATCAGAGAGATTCCTCTCACCAACCGTTGACGCCGATTCAACATGTCGTATCGGCTGAAAAAAGGCAGACGGGGGTCGACAGGTAGCGACGCAGTTGGACTGGTGTGTCAGGCCTTCTAGGACACCAGCTCCTTGAGTTTTTATATCATTCTGCAACAGATTCCAGGCTGAGGGTGCAGAATACCAAAAACGCCCTTTTCCCAATTTCTGGCAGAGTGTTTGGGACAGAGAGCGTAAAGAGGTCCTGAGATCACAAAGAATACAGTCCTGTACTTTTCTGTGTGACTAAAACACAGAGGGAGCAGATAAAGCTTTGCCTTATATATATGTAAAGGTGTACCAGTGGCCTACGGGTCACCAGAGAACAGCACCCAACCCCAGATTATAAATGTTATAAGATCTGAGATGGTCAAACCAAGTTTTAATTTCACTTTAGTTTTAGTGAATCTTGGAATCCAAATATTTAATTTCATTCATTTAATTTTGCAATTAAATTGTTAAAAACAAAGAAAAACGCACTAAGCTGTCATGAGCATGCTAAGTCAACTACGATGTCCTTGACATGCAAGGACGTCTTTGTTTTCGCCATTCCTCTGCAACGACCTAAGTGGATAAAATAGTCCATTCCGGCGTCTCTGCTAGTCCACATAGTAGGAGAGTAACTGTGTATGTATGTGTGAGCGTGTAAAAAGTCCAGTTTTTCCAAGTCCAGAGTTTTCCAAAAGGTGAGTTTTCAGTGACCTAAAACGCAGTTTGCGTACGAAAGGCCGAAATGCTCAGAAAAAGCAACATTTAAAAAATACCGACAACATGTGGACTAGGCCTTTGTGTGCAATGATGTTAGCTTACAGTATTCAGAACCCCTGGCGGAGGGAGGCAGAGGGATCAAGCAGCAACCTCTGGTGTTGAGAAATGTGTTATGTTAATATTTTTATTTCATTTTCTGTTTGACTTCGTCTCTTTCTTCCTTCGTGTTGCTTTCATTTCTCTTGTGTGTATTTTAATTGCTTTAGTCTTTAGTGTTTCCTGTTTTTTTTTGTAATTTCTAACCCTCATGTCTCTTTATGTCCTGTGTGTATTATGTCTGATTAATTATTCAGTTCTCTGTGTGTCTTAGGTGTTTCCTGTTTTATTTTCTTGTCTTACTTAATATTTGTTTGTTTCAGTAAGAAAATATTTGTTTTTAAATTATTAGTTAAAGGAGCAGTATGTAACTCTGACACCTAGAGTTTGAAATGGGTACTGCAGTCCAAATTCTAAACATTGTAGAGAGCTGTCTCCCACACAGGTTGCCATGTGGTGGACACTGAAGCTTCAGTGTTTATCCAGCTCTGCATCGGTCTGTAAACCTTTCTGCGTTCTAACCTCTCTCCATTTTTCAAAAGCATCTCCAATATTGATCCTAGTTTGAGCACGTTTCTGCTCGTGGAGCTTATTAGAAACATGAAGAGGCTTTTTAGGTCGAGTACAATCACTTCTATCTGAACCAGTTCAACCTGATAACTGGTCTCATATCTGGCAAACCGAGGGGCGTCCAAAACGGCCGTGTAGGGGTGCCTTAAAAGCGCCTACCTTCTCTGGTCCAAACAAATCCAGAGCATTCAGGACCAGAATCTAAAGTTAGAAGGAGGACATACTGGCTGCTGCATTGTTGTCAGAGAAGCCAGCACTTCAACATAGCATGTTTCCTTAATGTCTGATCATATAGTAAACACATTTATTGTAGAGTTGATGTGATTTTTATTGAATGTCTGGTTGTATAGATTGTCTGTACGATTGAAGCTAATATAGATATCTTTGACTTCTGAGTGTAAGTGACTGAGATCAAATCTCCCTTCACACAGGAGTTTAGTTAGTTATCAGTTTCTCTTTGTGGCCTTCTTTCTCCAGACACAGCAGAGACGTGCTGGGAGAGTCTGACCAGTGTGAATCACTCTGGCAGCAGATTTGGCTCTAATGTGATTCTCCTTCATTTCCTTCATAAACACTAATTGGATCAGCGTGTCGGACATGTAAAAGCTAATGTGCTCGGACCGGTCTCAACCTCAGCTCCTGATTACTAAAATATTACTCACACGACTTCCACCTCTCATTACGAGTGTGTCATGGGATGCTGAATGTTCCTGCAGGATGTGACCTCATGTGTGGGCGTATGAGTGACTCCTAACGCTCCTTTTAGCATTGTTCTTATTTAACTCAGAGCGGTGACACACATGAGATCTGGATTGTAGAACAATGTTTCTAATTATGCAGCTGTTGAGTCCTGGAGAAGGTGCTGGACCTCGACTCATAGGGGACGTTAGTTTTTTATTTGTTCACAAATAGATGCATGGACTGCACTCCTGAGGACTGTCCCTGAAATCTTCCCGACTTTATCTTCCTGATAATCTGACTTTGTGTGTGGTTTAGTGTACTTTCAGACAAGTGCAACAAGTCTGAGCTCCACTTTTTAAAACCTAGTTGAGGCGGCCCTGTAGCTTGTTAGGTTGTGCCTCCTCTTTTCTTGTGTTGCAGGTTGGTGTAATTAGTAGGTGTGGTGTCCATCAGTCTGATTGGGAGCACCTGGGCCCGGTGCTCACAGTCATGATATAAGCTGCTACTTCACTCTACTTGGAGAGACCTTTCTACATGTGCTTTTTTGTTTTGTTACTTTGTCTTTCGTCTCCATCCAACAGATACACAATACACTTTCACACAACCAGTCACTTACACTATTGATACTACTGACATCCATACTTAATTCCTTTTGCAAGTTAATTCATATTTTTGTAAATAAATTAGTGTTATTAATTATTATTTCGGTGTCTCTCCCTTTACTTGCCATGGCCTTTGAGCCGGTCATGACAAAGTCAACTTCTACTATTATTGTGTTCATATAGCACTTATTAGCAGCAGGCCTGGTTCAAGAACAAAATGACTAAGGGTGCATCTGAGATTAAAGGGGGTGCAGCTACAGTGACTGGCAACAGTACTGAAAAATAGCGTAGGTGTCATGTGATCCCCGGTGAACAGACAGGACTAAGCACCTGACATGACCATCAGATCATCGATGTAATTAACACGATCTGAGTCACTGTTGTCATTTGAGAGCCTCGATTACTTACTGTAAAAAATTAGCATCAGTATCTATGCTTATGATATAATGCTGTCTGGCAGCCCATTCATGGAAAAAAGAAAAGTTGGGCACATAATTCATTTTTGATCCATTAATACGTTAAAATATGGCACTGGAGAAAACTAGTGCACACACATCCAAGCAAAATGTATACAGGTGCAGGACAAGAAATGTAGCTAACTGCAGAAAAAACTAGATTAAGCAATTCCTGAAGAATCTGCAGTGAGAGCTGGGAAAGCTTTGAGCATAAGCAGCTACCATCACAGCCATGGCTGTCGAAGCCATCGCTACCACAGTCGCTTTTGCAGCTTTTTCTACCTCCATGCTGCAAGAGCGAAGATAACACAAGTCTCACACTTGTAAATGGTAAAACGCTTTTCTAGTCTTCTGACTACTCAAAGTGCTTTTACACTGCAGGCCACAACTACACATTCACACACTGATGGTAGAGGCTGCAATGTATCGAGACCATCAGAAGTCACTAATCCCATTGGCATTAATACACCGCCGACGAATTCTGATTCTGAGGATTCAAAGGTCCCTGTCCTGTTAAATTGTTGATCAAGCCTGTGGGTGCGCAACATGTGACAATTATTTTATTATTCTGTTTTTTCTGCTACATTCTTCACTTTTGATTTTAAAGAGAGTAAAATTGTTTTGAAATTGGCGCAGAGGCTCGTGCAGTTCTTCTCACCTGGATGACATCAGTGGTCCGGGTCAGGTGTTGTGCCGAGAAATGCATGCTAAGAACTGCATGCACCTGGTGGAAGTGTTAGAAAACGATATAAATCGTATTTCTTGGGAAAAGATGACAAACCTTATACCACAGCAGGGGCTCAAAATGTGTACATTTTGTAATGACAGAAAACCTCCCTAAAGAGGCCCCATCTGACAACACACCTCGTCCATGCCCTGGGAAGCATCGCTTGCATTTACAAACCAAAGTTTGTTGATGGAAGTCAGCGGAGAAAAAAGGAGATGAATGATCTGTGTGGGAGTGAAAACGTAACGAGGACTCAGCGTCAGGACCCTGGCAGACATGATGCTGATCAGCGCTTGTTGTGGAGGGGCCCCCTATGAAGTTTTGCTTAGGGCCCCAACAGACCTCGAGAATTTCCCCTGCCTGCCCACAGTGTTTGTCTCTGAAGTGTCTGCAGAGTAAAATAAAGGGTGGATGCAAAATATAGCAGCATAGTATTTTAAGTACTGACGCAAAATTCGGCAGTGTTGCAACTGTGTCTGTTATATTGTGTTTGCATTGTCTAGCGAGGTGAGTGCAATTATCGGCAGGGATGCATTTCTCGGTGTAACACCGGCCCTGTCACATCCAGCATCACTTCACCTCTCCACGTTTCCAAGTCGCTGCCAGCGGATCCTCCTCCGCCTCCGCGCGCTCATTGGTGGCGCCAGCTGCGGGGCATTCCCTATCCGCGTCCTCCGTCGGAAATGGCCGTCAGTTCCCGGTCCTCCATTGGACTGAGCCGCTGTCAGTCGGCCTCCCTCCTGCTGAACACCGTCCGCCTCTCCGGCTCTCCGTCTCCGTCATATTGGCTGCGAGGAGCAGCAGCGAGCACGGCTGAGAAGAAGACCCCCACCATGACGGGAAACGGGGCTCCCGCTGCGCTTTAAAAAATGATTTAGCCCTTTAAACATTTTTACTAGTATTTTACTAATTAATTAGAAAATAATCGGGATGATACCTTCAAGTATCCGAGAACCTTTAGTGCTTTCCTCCGACACCGTGGTCCACCAGGGGGATGTAGTCCTGACTTCTCTTCAGAGCCGCTTTCTGCAGACAAAGAGTGCTTGTGAATAAAGCTTTCAAAGACACACGGGTAAGAGATATGAACTCGAGAAACGACCCGTCACTACTTCACATGGACCCCTTTGTCTTTACATCATCTTTACGCAAAATTACAAAAACCGGGTTTATTCGTGGTGAATTATTGTGTCGATTCTCCTCGAGCTAACACGCTAAGCTAACATGCTAACCCCGCTAGCCGAAGCTAACACGCTAACCCCACTAGCCGAAGCTAACACGCTAACCCCGCTAGCCGAAGCTAACACGCTAACCCCGCTAGCCGAAGCTAACACGCTAGCCCCGCTAGCCGAAGCTAACACGCTAACCCCGCTAGCCGAAGCTAACATTAGAAACTCCACTCCAGGGAATGCTAACCGTTAGCATTTTTGACAGCTCCAGAGTCTGAACTGCTAGTCGACTCACCAGGCTGTATTTGAGACAACTAGCTATATTTACTGACAACACAAAGAGACGATTGTTTTTACTAATTATTATTTTACATCTGTCTTCCAACAGACTACACTGAAGCCGAGATAATGATTTATTCTCGGCTGTAGGCTACGTTAGCAGTGCTAGCATTCAGCTAACTTGGATGGGACCAGAGAGAAGTGGGGCCTCCAGAAACCTGAAGGCCTTCCAACCATTTCTGTACACCAGCTTTAAAAACTACAGATTTGTCCCTTTATTTGCCATCAGTGGTAAAGGTTATCTGTTTTCTGCAGAAGTATTTTCCGGTAGTATAAGGGGATCTCACCTTCAACCACAGATATGTATGTAGAGTTATATTAACACCAAGACAGGTATGGTCTAATGTGACAGGCTTAATGTCCTTAAAATGATTGTTTGCTCAAAATGCAATCAAAAGGAAGGTTTTGTTCAACTGATTTTAGCTTGACATAGGTCTCTGCTTGACTTAGGTGTTGTTTTTATTATTTGCACTGCTTGAAAATGCATTTTCAATTTACCAGATTGAGAGAATAGAATAGATCTTAATTTTCCACCAAAGCTGGGAATTCGCCTAAAGCTGGCGACTAACTAAACGATTTTCAAATATTTAAAAAATGTGAGCCCACAGACATAAGGACAGTGTCAAACGATTTGACGACGACACTACTAGACGATTCAGCCAGACCAGGAGACCATACAGCTGCTGTCTGTAGTTACAATTTAACAGATGAGATCTCACAGAAACAAACGTGACTTCGGGAAAATCAAATATTCAGGATGATCGACGTTGTGGGCTTGCTTTTCTCCTGTGTTGTTTTTTTCAGCATGAAAACAGAAAATGAAGAAAGTGTATTACGGGATGAAATCCTGGCTAAGAAGACGGATTTTGTGCAGCTTTATACAACTTGTAGCGCTAGCTGAAGGTGAGTTGTGAGAGTAGGCAGCATCCGGCTGGTGACGCTTCCAAGTGTGCCCGCTCTCATTGGCTGCTGCGGGTATTCTGTCAGAGGCAGTTGAATTGTAAATATCAAACATGTTTAAATGGTTCAACCGTGGCCAGCTTTAGACTCTCACGACACATATTGAAGTTCATGTCAGGGTTTAGATCTCTTCAGTCCTTTTTTAAGGTTAAGTATGATTATCGCTCTTTGGGTAAATAACTTCTTAAATACATTTTTTTTAGATGCCATAAGGCTCAAACTGGTTAAAGAAAGAATGATAATTATCTGCCATGATGCTCCTTGCTTTCTTCCTTATCTTATCAGTAAATAGTTGAGACCCAGGCTTTTGTGGTTTGCCCACTTTTTCGCCTGTCGATGAGAGTTTATTCTTAAATGTACAGCTCAGGTGATCGTAGCAGGAAGGAAGATGATAGTTAAAACACACTCAACAATAGATCTGTAGATTAGTTTTAGAATTTGCTGAATGACACCAAGGCCACCGAGTTTCTCTAAGTAGATAAAGTAACTGTGAGCATTTTTTGAAAGAAAACTCTTTATTTTTAGAGAAGCTAAGCTGGCGGTCCAGAACTGTGTCAAGAGCATAGTCTGGTGGCAGCCACAAATTGATTTTTTGATGAAAAAACTTAAAGTAAAAGTTTTAGTAAGTGTTGAATTTTGAAAAATCTGTGAGATTCATAAGCGGTATACGGACCATTTATGCATTCAAACTGTTTCTATTTGACAGCTTTTGTATCTTTAGAAGTTTGTTTTCATTTGACTTTTGTGTTTAAACATGGCCGTTAACTTTTAAGCTTTTTACCAATCGTGTGCAGACACTTAACCATCCACGTTTATATCTTAAACGTATACTAGAAACAAAGATGGTGATAATGGGATGACTCAAGGTGGTTAAAATCTGAAAAGGTTTTGTTAATAAAATGCAAGATGGAGATATTTGTGTACTGTATTTAACTTGACTTGTAGAGGTGGGGGAAAAAATCGATACAGCATAGTATCACAATATTTTACTTTAATATTATATCCCCAGGGGTTGCACAATTTATTTTTAACATGTTGCATTGTTAAAAATTCCTGCAGTTGTACAGTTGTCCATACAGGTTTGTGTTCAGTTAAGTTTGATTAGACTGAAATACTAACAGTTCAGATTGTGAGGAGCATGTGGCCTTTTACTGAGTTGAACTTTTATCACAGTCTTGGTCAGTCTGTGGATTTGACTCCCATTGTGTAGAAATAAAAAAAGACTTAAGTGAGATGAAAAAACTGACATTTTTTTCTTATTTGACAAAACAGTTCCTGATTTAGTTTAGTATAGTGGACATGATATGCAGTTAAAAAGGTACATGGTATTATATTGTATCCAGTTCTCCGCAAATCACAATGTTGAAAATCACACCAATATCATATCGTGTGGACTCCTCCCCACCCCTGGGAGTTAAACCATCGAGATCAAGATCTGTTCCACAAGGGTGACCAGGCCTAAGGGGCAGCAACACACGTCATAATTAACATTTATATGATGAAGCAACAGTTTACAAACAATATGTTAAGAGCAACAACGAGCAAAGTGCCCAAGTTACAAATTACAACTCAGAAACACAAGATGTGTCCAATGGTCTTAGGTTTTTGTCAAATATGCTTTTGTATTGTTTGCACACTTTTCCAACAGTAACAAACTTGATGTAGTTTGTGCTGAATTTTAGGTTGCAGGATTGTGTTTCACCATGCAACACTACCCTCACCTAAAACCTGCAAACACATAGTTCACCTTTCATCGTGGAAAAAAAAAAAAAAACCTTGCATAGTTTGCCTGTAAAAACGTTTTCTACGTGTTGTGGTTAAAATTAGAGTGATCTGTCAGTCATTTACTCACTCAGTGTGGATGTCTGCAGTCCCACATTTGTTTCAGAAAGCAAGAAGCTACAAATATCTCATTAACTCTGCTCTGGTCTGAGCAGCGAGGGCGTCCTCTCTTAGATCAGTGTGATCCCAGGAGGATGGGTGTGTTGGGCTGCCAGAGAGCAAAAGTAGCCTGGTTCTGGTTCAGGGCGGCTTTAGATGGTTGTGCACTGGATTGGACTATTGGTGTGGTGTTTTTATCAACGTTTGACAGTCACGAAGAATCATGTATTATTTTTTTAGCTTAGCAGAATAAGCTGTAGGTTAGCATGTTGCAGAGACAGAATTAAACACAACTTCAGCTTACATGTGTTTGTAGATTTCCCTTCATGTTGTTCTATTATCTTATTTCGATTGCTCAGAGAGTTTCTCTGAAGTCCAGGTCGACGCAGTTATATGGCAGCCATTTTTGTCTGGTGTCACGCTCAGGTTGAGAAGCTCATAAGCCATTTTTTTTTTTCAAATTGTATAGAAATCTAGGGTTGTAGTCAAGACCACACAGACCGAGACAAGATGGAGACATATAGGGACCGAGTCAAGACCATAAATATCACTGAAAAATCATCAACTTGTATTTAGTGCCACTCGCTTAGACCGGAATACCAGGAAGGTTGTGGTTGTAACCGGGGGATAAAAATCAAACTACAAGTGAATTGAAGTTATTGTTCCTTTTAGAAAGAGGTGTTTTCCTTCTAATCACAGTAATGACCTGAAATCGTTTTCTCTGGGACATCAGTGGCCTAGTGGTTAGTCTGCACTCCCCATGTACGGAGGCTGTTGTCCTCAAAGTGGGCGGCCCGGTTTCAACTCGGACAATGAACATTTCCTTTACAAAGTTGTCCATTCAGGTGCTTCTGCTCGTCCACATAGTGGTAGAGTAACTGTGTGTGTATGTGTGAGCATGTAAAAAGTCCAGTTAGCAATGCTAGCACCAGCTCTAGTTTGGTTACGTCTGCCATCGCACTAATCTCATGTCAACTAAAGTGACGGTGTCGCACAATAGCGTCCCAGAGGAGAAACCAGCGCAAAGTGTGATGTCACAAGAACAAAACTTTGTTTTTCCCGTCTTCACCTTTTTGTGCCTTTTTATTGGAGAGACAAGACAGTGGCTAGAGTTAGAAATCAGAGAGAGAGAGTGTGAAACAACATGCGGGAAAGGAGCCACAGGTCCAATTCGAACCTCGGCTGCCTGCCTGCCTGGGGGGCTACAGCCTCTGTAAATGGGGCGCGCGCCCAGACCACTTGGCCACCAGTGCCCTAAACATAACCACCTTTTAAATGGAGTTTCCAAAAAATCTTGACCCTGGAAGAAGTTTTCCTAAAGGTGTGTTTTCAATTACATAAATGCGTATGAAAGGCCAAAACGCACAGAAAAAATCTGTTTGAAAAAAATACCCGCCTACGTGTGGACTAGCCCTCAGAATCGCCTTCTTTCTATGGGTTCTGTCTCCCTGCGTGTTAAGTTAATCTTCTGAATCCTTGAACTTTCTTGTCATTTGAGAGTTAAGCCAAATGAGTCAAAGCTTTTACCATCAGCAGATAGTGCCGTGAAGAGATACTTGCTAATTTCTGCATTTCTAGTGTGATACGTCTTAGCATGCAGCGCCATGTTTGCCTACATGCAACAGCTTTATTGTTTTAACTGTGGCAGCAGACACAGAACACCTAAGAGGGTTTTTAAATCAAACTTGGACATGATGAGAGTTTGTCCGTTTGTGTCGAGGTCACTGGAAAGTTTCATTGTTTGTAATTTTGAGCTGAATGGTGAAACACGCCTACCCTGATGGAAAATGCAGCATCTGAAGATGAAGCTGATATAACATCGAGCTTACTGAGGGAGGAGAGCAGGGTGTGAACATGCAGTTTTTAGTGCTGTGCAGCAGTGTTTCTCTCATGCTGGTTGTACACTTTCAGGTAAAAAAAACAACAACAAATGCTGTTAAAGTTTAAATTTAGCTTGTCTTCAAATGTGGGTTGATATATACATTTGTACAAAGCTTGTGTGGCAAGTGTCATATTGGATGGACAAATCTCATTTCACTGGAAACATTGAAGTGTCAGGTGCAGCCCTGAGCTGAAGCCGACTCTGGTGTGTCCCTGAGTCGGCTTCAGCTCCTCTCAAGGTGCGTCTCTGTCGCAACGTGATGATCATAGTGCGGTGGGATCAGGGCCAGAGGTTTCCTTCCATACATCAGAGACACAATAAAAGGTGTTGCTTACCTTGATGACGTGCTGCAGGTTTCTAACTGGTGTCAGCTTCTTTGACCTGCAGCGCTTTTGTCCGTTCTCTGCGACGGCTTGTACCGAGGGTGGTAGCATACTTGCAGGCAGGGTTAGGAATGAAGAAAATCGCTCACCTGTAGCAGTTGTAAGCTTATAAAAAGGTCATCCAATGTCTGCCACAAGGTACCGAGCTGATGAACCAATCAAGCCTCCCCGTCTCCCTGCTCACTCTCTTGCGTACACTAGCCCACACTCAAAGCTTGTCACCAATGACAGAGTTTATACTGTGAGTTGGTCGTTGGGAGCAGTAAAATAGTCATTTTTTTTAAACATGTATTTTGATAAAGTTTAGTGTTTATGCTGAATGAGACATGAGATGACGTAGTTTCTACACAATGCAAGAGATGAGTTGAGATCCGCTTCTGGAGCAACGGCACTTGTGTATGTAAGTGAGGGGGCGTGGCTTTAGAGGGAGCACAGAGGGGAGGGGGTGGGTGTAGACGGAGCACTGAGGGAATGCTACTTTCAAAATATGCTAGTTTTTGAAAATGATAACCCTGCCTAAAGGGGTTGTGATATTTTACTAAAGAAGTAATTCATGGGAAGACTTTGTGATTAATAGACCCGCATTAGTGGCGGCAGTAGCCAAGCGGTTATATTGTGTGCCTCATGTATAAAGGTTTAAGTCCTTAAAGTGGGCGGTGTGGTTTTGAAACTGACCTGTGGCTCGTTTCCTGCATGTTCTCTCTCTCCCTTTCTTATTTCTGATCATATCTACTGTCCTGTCTCTCTAATAAAGGCATAAAAAGCCCCAAAATAAATCTTACAGAGACAAAAGTCAGCATTTAACAGTAAAAAACAAAAAGATGGTTAGAGCGATGAAACACAAGAAGGATATGGAAATAGATCAATCGGTTTTAACAAACATGCACATTCAAGAAAGGAAATACCTTGTTAAAATATTTGACTATATGGGTACGTTTAATAAGAAAAAGTTAACCAGCGGCTAGCTAATACAGGGGAAAACTTAATTAATGAAATAAATTAAACAAAATAGACTAAAAATTCAGTTCATAAACAGTAAGTCAAAGCTATACTTTGAACCTCTTTTTCTTTTTACAAATACAAACGTAGCATTACTGTTGTATTTATTCAGAAGCATCAAGATGATAATTCTGTTCTTAATAAATGTTAGCCACAGCAGCACTAATTGACACGTTTAAGAGGTTTTAAACACTTCTGAGAAACATTAGTTTCACAAATTTGTATTTGTACTCAGCATATTTTAATTTGCATTATAGAGGTGTTACTATGAGGACTCTGCGGGTCGGCACTTAGCTGAACGTAGGTCATGGCTTCAGAGCGTAAACAACGGACCAGTGGATGCACAAACTCTGAGACTTTATGGTTGTAGAAACAGAGATAAATCACAGCGACTGTCCCGTTTAGGGATGCAGTTTATCAGTTTGATATTTCTTCAAAGCAGCCACATGTCTCGAGTAGATAGATGTTGTCATCTTTAGATTACGCAGGAAGTCGATAAGGCAGGGGGGAGGGAGGGGGAGACACTCTGACGTCATGATTAAGTTAGCGGCGGACCGGCCCCCCCAGCTAATCAACTTAATCAGTTGTGCTGAAGACCAGTCTGGTTTCCTGTTCATCACAGAGCTATCACAGCTGACTGTGCTGATCAATGTCTTTATCAATATGAAGAGGTTCACTTTACACACAGGATGTCCCGCAGTCGAGGAGGAGGGAGGAGAGTAGCTGTAGCTCTCGAATAATAATGAAATTGAAGGGCTCGTTTACCTATTTTTGACCTTCTCTCTGTCTATCCGAGTAAAGTATAAATGGTCAAAATGTCTGCAGATGATGGGAATGTTTTCTAAATCTGCAAAGCTGCAAAATCTGTCGTTCTTATTGCTTCAGCACCATCATTTCACGTACCCAGTCTCCTGCTAGATCTATGAACTATCACACTTAGATTTCTATGCAAACTAGCCACAAAACTTCTCCACAAAGAGAAAATTATCCAGAAGATCGATCGCTGAGTATGTAACCAACAATGTGACATGTTAGCATTTCGGCTGTCTGTTTACTAGATGACCGATTATGAAGTGGAGTTGGCCGTGCATGTGCAATACATCCTATTGTGTAGGCACTACTGGCATTGTACTCAGCTTTCTGCCGATTGTTTCTTTGTTTAGATTCCAAAATTGTTTAACTAAAGCTCTGAAAATGTGTCCTGGGATAGCCTAACCTAGCAGTCGCATGTCCCATGTACAGAGGGCTGTAGTGTAGTTGCAGCAGCTGCAGATTTCAAAATCGAACTAAATGCTCAGGAAGAAAATGTCCATGCAGAAAGTGTAAAATGTGATTCTAGTAACGATCAATCGATATCGATGCCTGTTTGGATACCATGGCAACAAAAAAGAAGTTATGTTTTTTTATTACCAAAAATTGCATGCAAACTCCTGCACACTCTCTGAATTGAACATATACATCTGCAACATTTTGCATTTGTGCATTATAGACATTGCTCTCAAATTTTCTTTTGCAGTAACTTTATCGTTAAGAAATCATGAGAGTTCAAATCGTTTTCAAACAAGTGGTACTGAAGTATCAGATATTCTGACAACCTTAGTCCTGACGAATTACCACACTGGGACCAGTTTAAATATATATTTCACCAGCTCTATAGCACCAACCATTTCCATGAGGTCATTTCATGTTTTGATCAGTCCATAGTAGCAGTGCAAATCGGTGTCTGTTATTTGCTGTCATCCTGCAGTAATTGAACTCGAATAAGTTCTTCTTTCCTTTGCTCTAACTGTAGTTACTAGTAGCAACCATTAAATATAATATTGCTGTGCACAAGTCCTGTGGCGTGGGGGATGAGTTGTGGCATTGAAAATTACCTTTGGGACCAAGAAGCTAACTTGTTAGTGTTTAGACTTGTTGGATTTTATAGAAGCACAGAAATATGTTCCCTAATAAAGCCCAACTTAAACAGGAGAATAAAAGCTGCGGTATGAAATCTTTGCAGGTTTCGTGTTTTCTGTCAGGCCACCTACCTGTGCTGACTGTAAAGTTTGAAGAATTTAAATGCAGTTTGAGGCTACATCTTCCAAGTGGCTGTCAAACTGCAGCAGAGCGGTAAATCATGAGCCTTTGTGGGTGTGCATGTGGCCCGTCTGCTGCTGTTACAGGGAAAGTTTTCGGTCAGGTCTAGACTGGCTCTGTAATACAGTACATACCAGCAGATCAGCTGTGAGCAGATCCTGGGTTCATTTATAGCCGTGGCCTTGTGTCCCTGCACGTCTGCCTGGCAACTCCTCACTCTACTGCTCCAACTCCTCCAGCTCACCCACCTCTCAGACACTTTGGCCCCATTAGACTCACCATGCTTAATTACTAGATACGCAGCAGTCTAGGGAATTAAATGTAGGGCATTCTTTATGTAGCTTTATGTGGGGCGTCGTAGCTGCTGTGATTTCTCCACCTGTGACTGACTCAGTTTGTCTCCTGTTCTCTGCAGCTCCCCGGAGCTCCTGTTGATGAAGAAAGTGGGCAACATGTGGAGCAACTTGAAGAGCAAATGTCAGACTCTGTTTCACAGCAGCAGCTCAGGACCCGGTGAGAGCAGGCCGGACGCCAACGCAGTCCACTGTGTGCTTGACATCGGACAAGGAGGCAGCTCAGATGAGGCTCAGGTGTCCGAAGCCCCCAGTCCATCGCGAAGCCTCCTGCCAGTTCCTATGGTAACAGCAGGCCGCCGCCATCACAACTGTGTGTCAGACATCCCTCAGATTGTAGAGATCACTCTCGACAAGGACACTGAGGATGTGCGGGGGGGCTCAGGGGGCGTTCCTATGGCCCGCAGAGACTCTTATTCCCGTCATGCCCCATGGGGGGGCAAGAAAAAACACTCATGTTCCACCAAAACCCAAAGTTCCTTGGAAGCAGACAGGCGGTCTGGCCGTTTACGGGGTAGCGGGAATAGGAGGGATCGACGTTATGGAATTGGCTCCATCCAGGAAATGAGCGACTCCGTTTCTGGAGGACGCAGTCTGAACGCTCGCTCTCTGAAGCAACGGCTGAGTGACACTGTTGGGCTGTGTTTACCCCTCCCCCCTCGCAGACGCTCAGCTAAGAACCCCGTTACCTCCAAACGCAAGATCCACCTGACGGAGCTGATGCTGGAGACCTGCCCCTTCCCCCCTGGATCAGACCTCGCACACAAGTGGCACCTGATCAAGCAGCACACGGCACCAGTTAGCCCCCATTCCTCCACCGCCCTGCTCGATGCCTTCGACCCAGCCCACCCCTCCCCTGAGGACGAGGAGGAGCGTCTGCGTGAGCGCCGCAGACTTAGCATCGAGGAAGGTGTGGACCCCCCTCCCAATGCACAGATCCACACCCTGGAGGCCTCAGTGCCTGGCTCCTCTCTCTACAAACTGGGACCAAAGTTGGCTCCCGGCACAGGGGAATCCTCTGGGGAGGTCCGGTCCTTGGGGTCCGGCAGCTCTGCGAGTGCTGGATCATCGGGGGCCTGCAGTTCGTTGTTGGGGGCTGCAGCGTCGGCTCAGGACTGTGACTCGGAGGAGGACTCGACCACCCTCTGTCTGCAGGCCAGGAGGCCCAAACAGCGGCACGCTTCAGGGGACGGACAACTGAGCCGGCAGCAGCCTGGACCCTGGAAGGTCCACACCCAGATAGACTACATCCATTGCCTGGTCCCGGACCTGTGGCAGATCACTGCTCTGCCCTGCTACTGGGGCGTGATGGACCGCTATGAGGCCGAGGCACTGCTGGACGGGCGGCCGGAGGGCACCTTCCTGCTGCGTGACTCGGCCCAGGAGGTCTACCTCTTCTCCGTTAGCTTCCGCCGTTACAACCGCTCGCTGCACGCCCGCATCGAGCAGTGGAACCACAACTTCAGCTTCGACGCTCACGACCCGTGTGTGTTCCATTCGTCCACTGTCACAGGACTGCTGGAGCACTACAAGGACCCCAGCGCCTGCATGTTCTTTGAACCGCTGCTCACAGCGCCGCTCAATCGGACCTTTCCCTTCGGCCTGCAGCACCTAGCTCGGGCCGCCATCTGCCGCTGGACCACTTACGATGGTATAGGCTCTCTGCCACTACCACCCGCCCTGCAGGACTTTCTCAAGGAGTATCACTATAAACAGAAAGTACGAGTCCGCTGGCTGGAGAGGGAACCGCCAACAAAGGTCAAATAGGACGGGGCTTCTCTGAGCCTGCACGTACGCTGCAGGAGGGTTACACATCCTGAGGAGCTCCTCGTTAGAGCTTTAGAGACATTTCTCTCTTTCTGATGGGGGATGAAATCTAAATGTAACAAGCTATACAAGATTCATTCTAATCTTTGCTTTAGTTATTACTTACATCACAGAAAATACATATGATTATATTCAGTATAACGCTGTCTGGCAAGCACATGTTTTTGTGTTGAACAGGTTGTTTTGACCAGGAGGGGAGGCACAAATATCAGAGCTTTGTGTCTTTTCTCTCCTGCTTTGTGCTAAATGTCTGCCTGATCCCACCACTTCATCACCTGCCTGTACACCTGCCTGCATGCCTCCCTCTTCATCCCAAACCGCTATTTAAGCCCACACGGCTCCGTTGTACAGTTCACTTTGTGCTCTCCCTTTTTTTTTTTTTTCTTTCTTCCTGAGCTTGTCAAAGCACAGAGTGGAGCACCTTCACAGGAGGTGTGTGTGTGTGGGTGGAGAGGGCATCTGGAGGTGCTTATTGGTGTATTGCAGTCACAGCTCGTCCCATGGATGAAGCTACATACTTCAGCATCCCTTTGCACGCGTGGCATGAGCTTCAGCCGAGTCGGGACACATTCAGAGCAATCAGGGAAACGAAACGCCTAGTGAGGGCTACGGATGAGTCCTTCAACATGAGTTCCCCCTCAAGCAGTAATGGTGACAAATGATCAGTCTACTGTTTCATTAAGAGCGAGCTGAACTTGTCAACTTTATTCCCACTGTGTGGTTTCAAAAAAGGAGAGACATTACACGGAAATATTCAGACACGTCGGGCCATTGTTGCACTTGTGAAAGCAGTTTGTCAGTTCTGAGGTGCACATACGAGCTCTATGACATTTAGGAAAACATTTGCGCAGTTTGCTGTTTTAAAAGAAATGTTTTAGCTTTATTATTTTGTTTCACACCTGCCTCCTTCTGTCAGCATCTTCCCGGGCATCGACCCTGTGTAGCCATCCTCCTGAGCCACGTTTCTTTATAGATCAATAAGCTAACATTTTTTACACTTTACATCTACCCTTCCTCAATTGTATAACTTCTCCAACCAACAGTCCCAAACTCAAATGCTGTCCGTGCATGGTAACAAACGTCAAAGAAAAGCAGAACAAAATGAACAAATCAGAAGCTTACACCGGCAAATGTTTGATAATTCTGCTCATGCAACCGTTGACCAATTATCGAAATAGTTGCAGACAATTTCCTCAAATTGACGCATGTAAATATTTATGTTCGACACCTGTTGTTCTTTCTCCGACTTCCACAGAGGTCTGCAAACATTTCTTCCTCCCTCTCAGTATTTTACTCTGAACCCCGAATCAGAGGAGGCCGACGGAAAACACTTGGAATATATCCTGTGACCTTAATCCCTGTCTTTTTTTTAACAAAATGTGTTTTTAAAAAAAAATATATATATTTATTAATTTAAGAAAGTAACTCTTAGATAAAGGAAACGGGGACCTGACATTTAGTTGACCCTGCATGGTGCAGGTATAAGGTGCTGATTTAACTCTCTGATTTACACACAGTAGAGAGGTGATGGTCTCCAACACTTCAGTGATTACTTTCCGAAGGTCTCACTCAAAACAACGCCTTCATCGCCCAGTTTTTAGAGTCGAAGTTGAAGCGTAGACTGCAGCCGAAGCTCGCTTGAGTTATGTAATTTGACTGGTTGTAGTTGTGCGTGCGTGTGTGTGTGCGTGCGTGTGTGTGTGTAGGGCTACAACATAAAAGACCTCAAGTCCACTCTAATCAGTCCGTTGAATCTCTGCACTTTGGCTTCATTGTAACAGCATAGGAAGTTTGCAACTGAACACACCAGGTCTCGGAATAACCCTGAAGTGTGTCCGAATTATCCTCAGCGGTCTCATCATCTCAAAAACACAGAAACTGTAAATAAAACCTGTAGAAAGACTTAAAGAGCCCATATTCTGCCCTTTTTGGGGTTCGTATATTTAATCTATGTACCTACTTTTGTACATTCACAATAGCTAAAGTTTGAAAAAAGTGTCTGTTTTCATGTACTGCTCCTCCTTGCTCCCTCTTCGCTCTGAGTCCGTCAGCTACACTCTGCTGAGCCCACACTGTTAGACCCCACGTGGGCCAAGTCTGCTCTGATTGGTCTGCTGATCCACTCTGTCGTTATTGGTCAGTTGTTCAGCACGCTTCTCGGAAATTTCAACATGAGCTGCAGGGCTTGCCACAACGAGCCAATGGGCTTAGATCAGTGATCTCACACTGACAATGACGCTGCACTGACAAATTTTATCGAGGGGGGCTAGAACCGAGCGTTACATGCAGCTAATACTACAGCTAACAGGAGGACGTAGGAGAAGCCGCGTTTCCGCGGACTTTGAATTTTTGCAAATAGATGTGTCTAAACATGCACAGGACACAAAACACACTAAAGAGCATATAAAACCAGAAAATGCATAATATGGGACCTTTAACACTGCTGCGTCCTTTTAAACATCTGTGTTTCTGTAATTCTCTTCTGATAATCCTTAGAGGCTGAGAACTGAGCTGCAGTCCGATGTGTGGTGTAAGAAAGCGGTCAGCTGAAAGCCTGCACTCAAAGGAAACTTATTAACATAATTCTGACAGGTAAAAACATAACTTGATACATAATAAAAATTGATAAAATTGCGAGGCTATAGCTTCATGTTTAACAGCCAAACTTGATTCAACTGACAAAATCGGAGTCCGCTGCGTGGTCGGGACAAAAACGCTGCTGGTTAGGGGGTCATTTGTGTTGTGTTCTCTGAAGAGTAAATAAGTGTGACCTTGGTGCTTTTTTTTATTTTTAATTTTTAAACACTTCATCTTGTTCCAGTGTAGTCGAATCCTGAATCAGGCGGTGCTTTAACCCCATCGGTTAGACCGATGGAGGAGCTATGAGCTCACTCTGATGGTGCACGGTAAAGTTTTTACTATTCAAATGTCCGAGGTGCTATAACGGATTACAGTACACCTGTTGTGTCTGTAGTCCGGTGACTTCAACAGTGCTCATATTTTCAACTGGGAGCGCTTGATAAAGGACGCTGGGTGCTTCACTTTTGTCCAGGCGGCCGCTCGCTGCTGCAAACGCTCTCTCCTTGTTGAAAATTGAATAAAGACTCTGGTGCTAAGACAAAATGAATCCCCAGGTGGACACGGGGCCTAAGCGGTTTCTAAAGTTTCCTGCTGGTGTTTGAGTATATGGCCTCTAAAGTATAACTAGTGATCATTAAAATCAATCACTGGACGCAATTTGAGCTGAGCTGCCAGCAGCGCTTTCAGATTTTAAAGAAACCGGCGTTTCTTTGATGCTCTCAGGGGTCTGACCGAGGGGGTCTGACATCAATGACATTCTTGTGAGACTTGCTCGCTTGCGTTTCCTCTCGGCAGACTCCACAGTTGTGCGATGAGTGAAGACAAGAAATGTCGGTAAAAATGTGGTGTCTCTCTACCTGTGCAGAGATTGCTGGAGAGATTTCACACGCCCCATGTGCAGAGGAGATAGTCCTCATGGCAGTGGCCGAGGGTCCGAATCCGACCTCGGCCCTTGGCTGCATGTCTGACCACACTCTCTCCTCCCGACATGTTCTGTCTCTCTTCAGCTGTCCTATGCAATAAAGGCCAAAAAACTCCCCAAATATAGCTTTAGAAAGTTGCCTTCCCTATCTTCAAAATCCAACGTGTGCATCTCAGGAGGAGGTTGGAGAAATTCAGAGTTGTCCCCCTTTGTTGCATTAAAAGGAAACGATGAGCTGCGAGGTGTGCAGATGTGAAACCTGCAGGTCGGGTGTCAAACTGAAATCATCGAGCCTTAAGATGATCTCAAATTGCTTCATATTGATCGAATCAGTGAGGATGAATTACCTGAGTCTTTAAGCAAACAGCTGTGTAGTATTAATCAAAGAGGATATTTAAATTATGATGCAATTACAGAATGACAGACTGCTCTTCTACTCACCCGGTAAATCCCACACAGACACCCGAAAGTTCAAAAGAGGTGCAAAACCTGAGACAGGTAACAGGTGTTCAAAGATGATCCACGTAGGTACCCTGAACATTTCCCTCTCATAGAAGTCCAAAACATTTCCCATCGTTTGCACATTTGTCTTCAGAACCTTAAACACCAAATCGCCTCCGTGTTTGCTCTGAAGGAGCGACACAGAGAGAGAGAGAGAGACAGCCGGGGGATGAAGTTGACATTGATCTGCTCGTCTTTGCACTTTAATGTGTCAGGATTTTCAGCCACCTGTACATCCTATTTAAATAATGCACAGATGTAAAACTATCCTGCTCACTGTCACCTGTCTATCACGCTGGAGCGCACACACACACCTGGGTTCAGAGCCCCGCCCCTCTCACAGGCTCCAATCACAGGCTAATTTGACCATGATTGGATATGACTTTCCTGTGTACTGAGAGGTACCGTACAATCCGATTTTTAAGACTCATTCTGTCTCTGAGGGTTTAAAACTGTCTTCCTGCGCAGCGATTTCCATGCTGCTCGCAGTACTGAACGAGTCGTGTCAGGTCATGTGAGACAGTGGCAGCTGCACTTGTAATGGCGGTGCACATCTGTGCATTTTAAACTGGTATACTGGTCGAACAGGTATATAAGAAGCAGCCCACTTGTTGGATGAAAGCAAAAGGTGTTCATCTTATACACCGGACTTTACCGGGTTTTTATATTGTTCTGAAATCTGAGCTGACCTGGAGGTGTTTGTCCCGCTCTGTTGAAGAGGAGGAGGGTGACAGAGAGCTTCCTGTGCAACAGTGGCGTGCTCACGGAGAGGGCGGGCGAGGAGAGGAGAGGCGAGGGGTTTTCTGAAGTAAAAAGCACTTTAATTGTGTACTTGTTGTGTTCCACAGTGTGAGAGGAATCAGGACAGTTTTTTGGTTGTTTTGGCTTTTTATTGCAGCAATGTACCTGTTTTAACCAATTTATCAAAGTTACATCATCATCATAGTATTTAAAAATGAATAAATATCAGTCTATTTTAAATCTTTTGACCACCATTTGTGATCAGAGTCCCTGTGGTGAGGGTTCTGAAATGTCCACGTTGAGGCTACGTCCACACTAATTCATCTGTATTTCACTCCAGCTCCGGTGTATCGTGGTGCGTTAGCGTTGGAAGCACTGCTGACCTCGTCTTAGTTTGTCTGCGGCTCTGTTGTACGTTATCAAGTCTCAGGAGACGAGACATGATGTACAAAGGCCGATTAAGAAATGGTGGACGAGGCAACAGAATCTGAGGTTTGATGACAGCTTTTATATCGTTGCAACTTATTCAACGCATCAACAGAAGAGTGAAGAAGAAAATACTGGCGATTGCAGTCTTAAGTTCGTACGTCGGCCGCAGGATACATAAACCTCACCAATCCCCTCCGACTTGCTGGTGGTGATTTTTCCTGAATATTTCCTGCTGCGGTCTCACGTCAGCGCACTCCCAACTTCACTGAGGGAGGAGAGTCTGGGGGAAGTCAGTGGAAAAAAGTGGCGTTTTGTGTTCACACATGCAGCTCATCCTGAATATTTCAGGAGGTTTTGTGCAAGTGTGAAATCACTAATCAACACTTTAATCGGCCATATTGGTATTTGACTTAAGATCAATACCTGCAAGTGAAGACTTATGCAGGAGATGAATATTGTGTGAACAAATCGTTGTATCGGCCCTGACGAGAGCACACAGATGATGCCTTTTGGCGACTGATGGCGGAGATAAGTCATGAAGCAGGGCTGCAACATCATCTAAAGTGGACTTTAAACAGCATTGTAAAGGGAGCCTGTATTAGTGTGGATGTAGCTTTATCAGTCTGGCTTGTTT